GAAGATAGTCACCAATAAATCATTCGCAAATGTTTCGTCTCCTAAACTTACTGGCAAAGTGATGATAATCTAAGTTTATTCTTTTACTCTTTCCAACAATACAGGAGGTGTTAGCAGCAGTACGACCAAAAACCTTTTCATGTTATCTTCTTTCTTATATTATAAAAATTTGCATATTATTTGACTATGTGTACATGTAAAAGAATTTTGAGTTAAATGATTCAGTGAGGCAGAAAACATTTCACTCAGTGTGAATCCTACGAAGAATGCAGCATCTAGACAGCTGTTGACTTGCTGGATAACAGTAGGGTTAAAAAAATATCATCTTGTAAAAGCTGATAATGTTCTAGGTTAGGTTTGACTAACGAAGTGGTAAAGAGGCTTATAGCAATGATAGAATGCCCTTATATTGTTAAATATGTGATCTATATCTAGACTAATAAGCATTGTCAGTACCTGATTGTTACCATAGAAATGGTTTTTTACATGTAGTTATAATAATTACCTTAGGGAATGGTACCCTTAGAAAGTACAACAATGATACGAGAAATAATAACATTAACAATTCATACATAGTGGAAGAGTCTGTGATGTATCCGCAGAACAAAACCAGTCCTTGTTCACCATCATCCATTTAACAACAATACTGTTTCCCTATTACTGACGTTTCGATAATCCGATTGAATTGTAGATTATATCCACCTGTTTGACGCTTGACTTCTTTCAAAAAGTTCATTTAGGATCTTCTTCCACTTATGATTATTACACAGTCGAGAGATTACACAGATGGGACAATTTTCACACAGCTGGACTATATTTTTATTGCATTGCAAAGAATGATATTTAAAAGGCAGGGATAAATTTTCCTAGAACTTAGCAACGTAAGTTAACAGATGTAAAAAAATATTTGAAAATTTTAAATATATGCAAATCAGCACAATACACACACCATTCTAAATTCATCACTAAATATTTAAGAGATATTTGAATTTGCATTATTTCTACACTATATAGAAATAATGCAGATCTACCTACCTACCTATCCATATATATATATATGTATAATGCTAATGAGCAGCAACATCGACAGTGAAAAATTGCAAGACCCTCATGAAGCGCCAGTCGTGACTGACACATATATTATGTTATAATATTATAGCTTTCGAAAGATAGCAGAATTCTCCATAACCGAGCTCGCTCAGCTTCTTTTCTGCATTGACCATTTGAATAATCATGAAAAACAAAAGTAAATTGCGTATCGCAGACACGTTCACTTCGTGCATGAATGGGAGTTGTTGGGTAGGAAATAATTTTGGAATGATGCAAATGAACATAAATCACTGATAACTTTCTACTAATATTTAGTGTGTACTACAGCAATTATAATTAAAAGGAGAAGAGACAAGGAGATATATCGTGTCGTTATTTGTTGCGTACCGTTGCACGGTGTATCCTGCAATATATTAACTTCAGGAATGAGAATTCATACAGCACATTATAATATGACTAACTCCTAGTCAAATAATACATTCAATAGGACACTTTTATTGATCATTCCATAAATCAGTATTTATAATTTACATAAGCCTAATCCTCTTGAGCCTATAAGACACAAAAAGGAAACCATAGAATTGATGATCTCAGGTTGCTTACTTATTTGCACGTATTCAGTACTAAGTATATACAAAACTATTTGGCTTCCTACATCCAAGTAAAAATGTCATAGGATTCCAACTTACTCCGTCTACATTTTGGCATTGGTAGTAGAAGAGTTTGACAGCTTTGCTGCCCTGTTTACGCATTCCGTCTAGTTGCTTATCACCCGTATAAGCACATTCTCTGATTATTTGCGTTGGTAATTCCTCCACATTCTGAAATACTAAGATTATTTGAGTGACAAATAACCTGGAAAACCAAATTTTGCTGAAGTACCTAACGAAGAAAATACAATATTTTGCATATATGCATAATTCTCTACACTTTGAACATCTTAAAGGCTCAAACTGCAACTTATTGTAATCAGTATCAGGGAAGTGTCTAAACAGGATGCTGAAGATTAATAACTATGTAAATTGGAACAACATACTTGAACAATTTTACGGCATGCGATGGGTTTATTACCATCATAGGTGCCTCCTTTCAATATTGGACACAACTTGATATATTGCTTTAGATTATTGGCATCACTGGAATCACAGTTTGCATCTTCCTGCGAATTACACTGATAGCATCGCATAGGTCCATCCCTTAAAAATATCAGGAAATAATGAAAATCAGGAAGGATGTGATCTGTATATCAATACAATTAATTGTAGCTTCTAAATGGGCAGTTAAGAGTGTTGTTAGCAAGACTGATTTGTCAGTAAATAACCATGAAAATAAATGCTTCTTTCAAAAGATATAAAGAGAAAGCATGAGAGAGAGAGAGAGAGAGAAGGAGAGGTTCTATTTGTCGGTAATAAAATTATTTGACTTAATCAATCAGCTGATTATATTATCGCTGATTCGCATCAGTGGATATCATCTATCAAAAGATTTGCTAGAAATGTCTTGATTAATTTATGGCATGAGATAATTACAAGCAAAATTCCACAGATAATATAATGAACAGATAGCTCACGCGATGACAACCAGGCTAGCAGCAAGTATCAGCACATTCGTTATCAATATTCTCATTCCTGAAAATGAATACAATCACAATATCCTTTTAAATTTAAGGTCCAACATGCATCATATTTCATTAGAAAAGTATTCAATAAATCATTTGCGATCAATTTCATCAAAATGTAAAATACATAATTTTGCAAACTTTACACACAAGAAGGGTATAAAATATTTGCACTATGCATTATTAATATAATTAATGGATAACTAAATCAAAAGTTAGGGTACAACATGAAAGGCACATACAAAAAACAATATCCCCGATTGCTGGAATTTCTCATAAAAATGCTGAAAAGAATGGGTATAGTTAGAGGAAAAGAGGATGGTGATATATGATTGAATAATATTATTGATAACAATGACAAATAATAACAATGATAATAAATAATAATAACAGTATGGGGTTAAGAAAATGAGATGAAAGAGTAGAGCGTATCGGAGATGACATAAACATTATCACATCAAGGATGATAGTACGCATTCCACTATCAATGGATAAATTAGGAAATTGATGTCATCATTCGTACTATATCCTCTCTCTCTCATATATACTTCAATTAAATTCAAAGGTTACAAGCTTGTGAGGGAGAGGGAAAGATAGAGAAAGGGAGGGAAAGGTTATATACGTAAATAAGAGTTTAACGCAACTGCAATTCCATAATGAAGTCAAATATACAACACAACATAACACAACATATAGGGAATATATCATCCGCTCATATACACATATACACACATACACACATACACATACACATACACATACATACATACACATACACACATATGTACTGCATTTAACTCCGAATTATTGATGTTATGCAGCTGCAGATGTAGTAGCAGCAGTAATAGCAAAAACAGCAGCAGCAGCACCAGCAGCAGCAGCAGCAGCAGTAGCAATAGAAAGAAGGTAATGAGTGACGGAGAGTGTGATGGCAGTTCAATTGTTCGTGCATGTTATCATTGGTAGATAGTGCGCTGCGCGTTAATGTCCTGAAATATATCTAGTAAACCATATATATATAATAAATCATATATATCCATATGAGAAAGTATTACTTAAATTCAATAAACTATATTATTTGCTAGAGTGAGAGTAAATGAATTTAAACGAAAGATGATGCGATAACTGGTTATGTTTTATTGAGCAATAAGAAAAAGAAATGTTTATGAT